GGACGCTGTGTGTGTATCGTGAGGTCCTGGGGGTGCTGGCACCCACCAGGGGGATCGCAATGGTTGAGGTCAGCATAGTAAACGCAGGGAACAGTAAGGGCAGAGCAAGAAGAAATACGTCTCTCAGAGGAGGCCAGGGGCCCCCCACCCATCTCTCGTGGGAATAGCTGAGTGAGCTCCGGGGCTTCCTGTGCACACGCCCCTCCCTGAGCCCGCACAGTTGGAGGTGGAGAAGGAGGCCGGCGCGGGAGAGGAAGGACAGAACCGAGTGTCCTTGCCCATCTCCGTCCGCTCGGTCTGCTCGCCTGCCCTTGAAGACTCATCTCAAACCTCGCCTCCTCTGTGAGGCCTTCCTCGGCCTCTGTGGGTGCAGCTGTGGCTGCTCCATCCGTGCTCCACGTGCGGTGCCCAGACTCAGCCTCAGCCGCCCCCATGTCGGTCACAGTTGTGCGCACCTGAGGCCGCCGTCGTGTCTGCGAGTCCCCGGGCCTGGTAGGGGCACCTGGTCCAGACCAGGCTGACACGGCTGGTGCCTGAGTCCACGAAGGAGCGATGGTGAAGGGAGCCGAACCCGGAGCAGAGGAACCAACACTCAGAACCCACACTGCGTGTCTGCGCGGCCGTGTGGGCCTTCTCTAGTTCCTACCTCAGGTACCAGGACCAATCCAGTGACAACGTGTTCACACAACTTTTATTGCTGACGGCCATTGCTGGGGGCTGGGGGAGGTCACGCTGCCCGCCCCTCCACCCCAGCCCTCATAGCACGTGGCCAGCCCCTCCAACGCTGCCCAGCCACTCGCCACTCCACCTGCTCTTCCAGGGCAACCTCCCCGAGCGGCTGCCTGCCATGGCTGGGTGGGGTCGATCTGCTTGGGCCCTGCCTCTGGGAGCCATACACCACCAGACAGGCCCAGGCCAGGTGAGGAGAACCGGACGGAAGGAGTGGGAGCGAGGCTGGGAGGTCCAGGCCTAGGGCTGCCATGGAGGCAGGAGCCCTGAGGGCTCGCAGGGCGGGGCAAGGGAGCATTCAGAAGGGCCGGCAAGAAGAAATACGTCTCTCAGAGGAGGCCAGGGGCCACTCACCCATCTCCGTGGGAATAGCTGAGTGAGCTCCGGGGCTTCCCGTGCACACGCCCCTCCCTGAGCCCGCACAGTCGGAGGCGTGGGGAGGGGGGCCCGGGGGGCAGTGTCCGCGTCCTCTCCATGGCAACGTTCATGTCAGTGTTATGTTTTGGAAACAGCTGAGAGATGGAAAGACGGAGAAAGCGGAGAAAAAGCTCCGAAGTCCCCAGACGGCTTCCCCGCCTCCGGGGCCCAAGGAGGAGCAGCGCCCATTCCTCATGCCCTGGGCGGAGCCCTGAGTGAGCGCCAGCGTGGCTCTCTCTGCCCTTGGTCTGCCCCCTTCCCCGAGGTTCACCTCCCTGAGGAGGCACAGGAGCCCCGCAGCCCCGGAGGCCGGGAACCTGCCCCAGCCCCGGAGAGGCTCGGCCCCTGGGCCCTTGGAGCTGTCGGCGTGACCGATGCTTGCTCTCCTATCTGCAGGCATTTGGGGAGTCTTTAAAAATACACCCGGCCCGTGGGCCCTTGGAGCTGTCGGCGTGACCGATGCTCGCTCTCCTATCTGCAGGCATTTGGGGAGAGTCTTTAAAAATACGTCCAACTCTGTTTCTTAAATATAAAAATAAAGTCAAGTCCACACCCAACCGCTGTGACCAAACACGATCGGTGACCCCTGTCTCCCGGGTCAGCCCGGTCGGCGTGGCCACGCTCCACACACAGCGCCGCGGGCCGGGGGAGCAGAGGCCAGC